GAGGCGGAGTCAGGAAGCGAGGCGGGGCGGCGACTGTTTAGACAGCTGTGCACGCATGGCGATCGGTTTTAAACTGCTGAAATGGATGAGCGCTCTAGTTTACTCGATGAAAATTGACAGTGGCTTAGATGCTCCTTTTGCGTGAACGTTAATTTGCAGGCTGTTGTTCGAGCTTTTCAGACCCTGAACGTGTCGCTGTCAAACGTGGCGGTGCAGGCGGGAATAATTCGAGGAGCCGAAGCTCTGGTGGGTCCTCGCCAGTGCTGTGCGCTGAATCCAACTCAGCGATAGTGCATAGGTCCTCGAAGCTGAAACTGAAAGGTTGCTGAAGACATTTGCTGTGTGACCCGCATCAAACTGTGCCGTTGTTGAGAGACGAATGTTGGCCCATTCGGTTCTTGGAGTCATCAAGGTTGATAGCTGAGTGGACGTCAACGGAAATGTGAAGTCTGGACTTCTTGCCGGTATGTGTGTCCGTGGCGTCGTCTTCTTCGGGTCACGGCCAGAAAACGTGTAATTGCTGAATTGGTGTTCGTGCCGGTGAATCTGTTCTCTACAATTTCTCCAGAAAAGGGCACTTGTAAGTAGCAGCCATCGTTTAAAACTCACTTTCAGATAACAAGATAGCTGGGTTTGCTGGTCCGCTATCCCAAAGCTCTCGCAAAAAATTGAGAAATGCTCCGCCCGCTACTAAACACGCCCTTCAGCCAGTCACGGACTCTTCCAAGACATTTAGACAGGCATCGCAGGCGGCTAACGCCTCATAGAAGACCGCCAAACACCTCTCGCAAAAAATCAAGACCTCGCAAGACGCGAACTCGCACTCGTCCCGATCAGCCCACTCACAAAAGACGGCCGGGTCGGCCCTACAGCCGATCTAAGCCCGGTCAGAAGTCCTCCGCTGGACAGCTTGAGTCCCGGGGAAGACGGCCTCACCTGTCACACAGGACATCGAATGGGCCGCACGAGCAGGTCCTTTTGTTCAAGGTGAGTGACGACCCGGCCTTGCGCGGTACGTCCCCGGTCGCATGCCTTCTGTGATGGTATCCATTGTCCGTGGCCAGAGTGTACAGCCATTCATGCTGAATGGAAGCATGGATCGGAAATATTAATCAAATTGACTGGAATCAGGTAAATGAACGTTTGCATATTGGTGTGATTGTTATATTGGAAGGTACGGGTTCATCAAGAGGGGAAGGGCAGCCAACGCCCTTTCCCTAGGTTCGCAATTTTGCTTGATTATCATGGACTTTATCTGTTTTTTGCTATATATTATATTTATTTTATATAATTTTATTTATATACATTTTTTAAATATTATGTATATCATGTATTATATCCAGACTTTAATTTTTTAACTACCAGCACGCACTGAGCTTGACTACCAGCACGCACAGCACGCCTCCCATTTCCCCCTCCCATGAAAAATTATTGCATTCCTTGGCGCGAGCAACTTTCACGCCGCGTGCCAATTAGCTAGTTGTATTGCGATTTGGGTTTCCGTCACCTTATCAACTGACACCCCCGTTCCGTGCAACATGTGGCGAAATCAGTGGCAGTTACCACAGGCGCATGTAAACCGTTTTGGTCACTTTGACACCGCCGGCTCTCTCCACGCAATCGCACGTTCAAACGGCCGGCCGGCCTGTCTCTGGCGCATCGACGCTGCGTTCCAGAACGGAACCAACCTGGAGCAGAGGGTGTTTGACGCGCTGGAGCGGCGCGGTGTGATGCGGTTCTTCGACGCCGCCTGCGGCTGCCGGGACTCGCCCGGGCTCCGCTGGCGGATGGACCAGCGCATGTTGACTGTGGTCGGTAGGTGGGGAGGAAGGGAGGAAAGGAGGGAGAGAGAGGGGGAGAGAGAGGCTGGAACACACGGTCCCGACAGCAGCAAAAACAATGGTGAGTTGGGAGAAAAAGAACGTTTTGGCTCGTGGCAATAATGGCAAATAATGAAATGCCTCTCCGCTTAGTTCTGGGCAATTTTCCCCGGCTAAGGAGGGAGTGACGGAAGATGGGAGAGCGAAATATTTAGGGAGAGTGAGGGGGGGCTGGGGAGGAGGAACTCAGAACGAAAACAAATGATATCAGGTAGTGAGAGTGGGTTAATCGGAGATAAGTAGAGAGGGTAAGAGAGAGAGAGAGAGAGAGAGAGAGAGAGAGAGAGAGAGAGAGAGAGAGAGAGAGAGAGAGAGAGGGAGAGAGAGAGAGAGAGAGAGAGAGAGAGAGAGAGAGAGAGAGAGAGAGAGAGAGAGAGAGAGAGAGAGAGAGAGAGAGAGAGAGAGAGAGAGAGAGAGAGAGAGAGAGAGAGAGAGAGAGAGAGAGAGAGAGAGAGAGAGAGAGAGAGAGAGAGAGAGAGAGAGAGAGAGAGAGAGAGAGAGAGAGATGTATATATATATATATATATATATATATATATATATATATATATATGCATAGATGTATATGTGTAGCGTGTTACTTCTCTTATGTTACGGTTCACCGCAACATTGCATCTATGTTGTATCGGGCGAGAGCGAGGAACGTTGAGGGAGAGTGAGGAGGGGGAACTCAGAACGAAGGTAATAGGTGATAACAGACAATAAGAGCGTTAAATTTGACATACGAGAAAGTTATATATATATATATATATATATATATATATAAACGTATGTATATAAACGTCTAAACGTATATATATAAACGTATATATATATATATATATATATATATATATATATATAAACGTAATATGTTGCTACTTTTATGTGACGCTGTGCTCTAACAATGGATCTGTTTTTAAGGTGCGATGGTTTTCAGCCCTTCCGCTGCTGCTGGCGGGCCTCGTGCAGTTTTCGCTGTTCTCGCCATCAAAGCGACGGCGTCGCTCTCTGATGACGTCACACATTGACCTTGAGCAAGGTCGACCGGGACTGCTGGCTGGGGTTACCCCAAACGAGAGCAAGGGACGGATCGATGCGGACACAGATCTCTCTTGGAATACACATCCCTTCGGTGAGTTGCACCCACTTGCCGAAATAATAGGATGCCTCTTGTTTGTTAAGGATTATTGACTTGGTGTCATTGAGCTATGGGATGCATTGCAATCATTTAGTTTCAGATGCAGTTGTGTTGTTTTATTGCCTTGCATGCAGCAGATTACATTTGTACAAGTGCTTGTATATAAACAAACACGCTGTGATCTGAACCTTCGATGACCGAAGATTATTTGACATATACATGGACGATGATAATTATGCCGCTGTAAAATAACGGGTAGGCACTGCATTTCTTCGGACAATACCCAAGGCTTAAACTTCCATGACTGTGGCCTGACCTGACAGGGACATCCCAGGAAACACACTTCGTAAATTGTTAAATGCTTTTGCCGGGAACATCACACACATAGATAAGACGGTAGTAATAGCCTTATTGCTCACAGGAAAGCCAGGAGAGCGGAGAGATAAATGCTTTGATATTTCGGCTACATGCCTTTATCGAAAAAGCCAGTTAACTTGATATAATATGTATATAATAATAAAATACTACTGGTTTCCATAAAGGCATGTTGCCGAAATATCAACACATCTATCTCTTCATTCGCCTGGTTTTCCACGAGGAATAAGGCTATTATTACTACGGTCTCAGCCAACACATTTCAGTCAGGCTGGCCCGTGACGTCATTATTGCGTGGGCCATTTTGAAATCGATTCCATGGCTTGAAACTCCGTCACACTGGCCTTGAACAGTGTGGAACACGATGGCACGTCAGTTTGTACCATGCACGCTGACGTGGAGAACCTGACTTTGAATCTCGAATGTGTCATGGACTATGGAATCTTGTGTGGCGAATTGTCCGTCCCGCTGGCTCAGTTGGTTAGAACGCCGGTTTGCTCCCTGCCACTCGCCGGTAAATTTCCGGTTTATCCACGTGTGGCAGGGTGGGTTCGAGTCGCTTCAGGCGCCCGCTGTTTGCCGTCGGCAGGTACGGCCTGCGGCCGGTGGTAGCGGCCGCGCTGAAGGTCAGTTGACGTTTGAGGGCAGGACGGACCGTGCCGAGCATTCCGGCGCGTTAAGCTCTCGCCACCAAAATTCTGCCCTTGGCTGGAATTGCGCGATCAGATGGTATGAGTCAAGGCTCACACAACAAGCGCTGCTTAGCGTGAGGTCTAATGCCAGGAATCAGTCCAGTCAATGGGTGTGGATCAAATCTTTGACAAAAAACGTTATAGGCGAAGGAACGGGGTGCAATGAAACTCCACTTTACGAAAATCTTGAGCATTAACCCTATGGCACCGCATGGAAAGAATCGATCACTAAATAGGTGTTGGCACCCACACTTCCTGAGACGTTCTTCTACCTGTGACCACCGTAATTACAGGTGTTTCACAAAAGGATTTCCGATGATATGCATCGTGTTCCCCAAAGAAACCAGTTCGTCTAACCTCTGCAAAGCTGACGTATATTGATAACATGTATTGTATAAGCATCTGACGCCTTCAAAATCACTAGGAAACGTAAAAATATTTGCACGTTGTGAAAAGGCCTCGTGCAAATTGGCGATTTTGCACAATTTAGCCACACAGACTCTTTGAAGCAGTAAGCTGGAATTATGTTTCGGTAAACTGACTAGATTAAAAGTCGGAGCATTGAAATTAAGTTTAAGGCTTCATTAAAATAAAGTGGAGCAAATTTCACTGCCACTCCCGGACGACTTGAGAATGTGATGTTCGCTTTACAACGCGACGGGAGATATCTACCTCCGAAAAATGGAGCGCCGAATCCCAAAATGCACATATATATATATATATATATATATATATATATATATATATATATATATATTGACAGAGGTATATATGAAGAAAGAAAGCGTGGCTGATGCGTAATATCAGAGCTTATGTATATGCACGCGAACATATGCATCACGAGCTCGTTCCTTTTCTTTATTTCACACCGTCGCCACCACCCTTCGCAGGGTCGCCTTTGGAGCCACTTGACAAAGAAGTCAAGCCCGCTGACCAATGGACACTCAAGCAAAACTCGATGTCAGGACTTCTGCCATGGGTTGACATGACTGCCCTACGGCGTCTGTCGGCGCGTGTTCAGGTCAGGCTCAAGACGCATCTTGTTGGAGATTCGAAGCTATCGCTTACTGGTCCGGATGCATGGGGCGCTGAGCACAATGATAATTTTTGCTGAGCATTCTGGGAGCTTTAACACTGTTGGTTTGCACTCCTTTCGGTTCTAGTTGTTTGAAATTTCGAAAGTCGCGTGACAAGTGCTGAAAAAGCGCGTCACAAGTACTCAAAAGATATGGCACTTCTTCTTCACTAGTGTATACTATGATGTATGTACCATATATTTTGTTTACTTGTGCATTTTGTTCTTCCATCGTCGAGTGATGATGCATCTATGTGCTTTAGGCTCGGTGGATCGCAGCTGCAGGGATAGATTCGCAATCCCGTGTAAAGAAGAGTCAACCACTTCATCTCAGACCGCATAGGTCCCTGAGAAATGACCTGTTCCACCGGCATCAACGAATGGATGCTCGGTATGTTATCTTGTTCCCACGCATTCTGTCCTGCGTGCTTAAAGCCACAAGGCGGTATTTGATCTTCCTCGGCGTGTGTCCTGTTTAGTGAAGAAACAAAATGAAGCATATCACGGTCTTTATGATAAAGAGCTGAGTGGAAGAGAAGAAAAGAGCCTTTTCGCCTTCTTTTTGCGTTTTACGCTGACTTTGATATTCCCCAGCGCTCTTTCAAACAATGTATGATCAGGCGATCTCTTGATCGTGCTACTAAATACGTCTCCCTGCATGTATGGGCTGGTTTGCACCAAACTAACCATCATTTGACCGAGCTGTCGTGCACGACCTCTTCCTGAGATGTAGACCAAACGGCCTTGAACCGAACCCTGCCCAGTCCCAAAGGCGATCACAGCCAGCACTAACTCTGTATGACAGCGACCTGTCACGCTTTCAGGCAACGTGGAAGCAGGGTTTCACCGGATTCCAGGTATCGAATCGGGTACTGGCGGCGCCGGCAGGTGGATGGGCGCAATACCCCGAGATCAGAACAGCACGTGACTTCTGACCACGCGACCAATGGGTATCCATTTCTGCCCAGGAACTCCCCAGAGAGGATCCGGGGGCCAATCAGAAGCAGGGTGGCGACCAGAGGGCGACAGAGGGGTCGCTATAGGCCGCGCGCGCGCGTGAAGCAGGTGTCTAAGGGGCCGGCATTGGGCAATCAGAAAATAGGATCCGGCAGGCCCTTCACCGAGAAGCGCCCGGGTCGCAAAGCTTCGGGCAAAGGTCAGGGGTTTGATCATGATCGTCCGTTCGCCAAGCAGAAGACTTCGGATGTCGTCGCGAATGGAGGCGATGAAGACGTTCTTCACGAGGTAGCTATGAATATATGGAACGCACTACCCGTCTAAAAATACGCACACAGCCAGCAACGCTTTTTGTGTTACTTTGTTGCTTTCCCACGTTGTGTCTTCTTTAATCCCTCTGAATCATCGTGTCTTTGAACCTTGCTGACTCCCGATGGCGTTCCCATGTCGAGAGATTGCTATTGAATATATTGGGCGCTGGATGGTTGCACGCTGAGATACGACCTGCCAGCCACATAAGATTGCACTATTTTTGTCCAACATGACTTGTGATTCTATAGAAACGCTTGGAAGCTTTGGCCACTGAATCGCCAGCATTGTATGCGCTGCACATCCGATCCATAGTTAGATAGTAAGTAAACGTTATGATATTGGCTTTTGTCGCGTCCTGCCAGAAAGCTGGAAATTTACCGTACTTAGTCCACATGCATGTATTTGTCGTTCCCCCTCTCACGATCATTTTTGCCACCACCGCCCATAATTCAAAGTTCGAAATGATCGAACCCTTCCCATGTCCCGCCAGGTCCACATCAGTCATCGCACTCTCTGTCAGTGCGCGCCTTCGCCGCTTGGCGCCGCCACCGTCGCGGCCGACCGCGCGAGGACGCTGCTGCTGCCGGCGCTGCTTGCGCCGCTTCTGGTCGGCCTGCCGCTGCTGGGCGGCAGCTGGGTGCTGGTCAGCGGGCTGGACCAGGACCAGCCGCAGGCTACAGCGCAGGCCAGCAGCCCCAACACCGTCTATGTCTCGTGAGTACGAAGGGAGCTCAAACGATGGCAACATATGCTCGACAGTGCGTTAATTGAAGCGATGATTTTGCGTGCGGACGACGAACGTGAATATAGCTCAAGGGGAGCCGCCGGAAATCGAAATTTGCGCTGTCATTACGTGCGCGAGTCAAACGATCCAGTGGTCGTGAATACTGCGAGGCAATGGCTCAAGTTTCCAAGCCTCACTCTGCAAACGCCACTCCCCATTTCCGACGTCTGTGAAGTCTGCACGTGTCATGAGTTCCAGACGTAGCTAGTGCATGGCCAGTGATCACACGTGCCACGTGTTTCAGACGCGGCGCGTCGGCCGCCGGAGGCGCCGCACCTCCCAGCGTCGTCACCAGCACCAACACCAATCCGGTGACGTCGACCAGCACCAACACGGACACCAATACGAGCAGCAACAACAGCGACAACCTTGACGACGACAACAACACTGGCGGTGTCACCACCACCATCACCAACAACAACCGCTAGACCGTGCTGCTGTGTTTGTGTTCCGTGGTCAATCGGTGCTGCCTCGCACTCGGGCGGACAAACCCAACCTGCCCCAAACTATGTCCCAACAAATAAGCTTTTCCCTGGAATTTGCCCACTTTCTTCCTAAAGTTGGGGGTGTCTGAAGCTTGAGTTGGTGAGGGAACAGAATCCCTCTCCAACTGAATATAAAGCTACACCGATGTCCGCCGCTCAAGGGGTAGCCGGGAAAAGCACGAAAACGAGGCTCAGTCGTCACAGCGCCGTTAGTCCTGGTTTGGCCTCTGCTGCCAGGTCTCGGAGGAAAGTCGGCGTTCTTGGAGTGTTCTCGAGGTGATGTTCTCGGAGAGCGCGCAGGTGTTCTGAGTGTGATGGCTGGCACGCATCACACCCAGTCCCGCTGAACATGGAGCCTTCCGCGTGCAACCACCGCCTGGGTTAAAGGAAAATACGGCACCGGAATTTCCATAATATATTGTTCCGAAACTAGTTTATATTTCAGCCACTCAAAACGAACGTGGTAACGTCCACTAAGTACGTCAAACGTTTTACTTAATTAGGTGATGCGGCGTTACCTGAACTTGTTTTTTCTTTTTTCGGGGGCTCCAACATGAAGTGTTTAGAGACATGTACGTGTAGAGACCTATACATGCTAAGTTTGTTCTATACGTGCGGGTGCCTTTTAATTGAAGTCAGTCCAAACTGGCGCTCGTTTCCGAATGTGATATGTGTGATTCTGGGACAAGCCAAGCGGAAGCACGAAGAAAATCGTGATAAAAATCGAATTTGTGCAGGCCCAGAGATGCTCGCTTGTAGTGTGTGAACGTATATCTACAGCCTAAACCCGTTAACCCCACCCATCACTTTGGATCACGTTTCAACGGTTACAGTCAGCACCAATCAGTCACCAGCGTGAGTGACATGAAGCTGACGGCATTGTAGCTCACCGCTGAACGAAAGTGCCGACATGGCTGTGACCCAGGACGGCGCTGTACTGCTTACACCAGCTACCAATTTCCAGGTCTGTGTGTAGGAGGGAGGGGAAGGGCAATTCACCGTATTGTCTGCTGAAGGTAGTGCAACGCGATAAACACCGCATTATCGGGCGCATCGGCGAGGACAACACTTCTCTACATGCGTCCTCGTCAGAGCTACGCATGTATACGCCAGAGCTACGCACGTATACATGTATGCGGACGCGTGAGGAAGCAATATCTCACCCCGCTATACCCTGCAAGGTCCTGGGATACAACGCTAGCGTCCGTTTGCTCACATACAGCCATACTGTGGCCTAGCACACGAAACGTTGCCAGTAGACATATAAAGCAAGAAGTGGCGCATAACAAGATGCAGGTGGGCCTAATCAACGCGACTTTTTGCGGCAAAGCACCGCTGCCCCTATTCAAGTTTGAGAAATGGTTAATCTCTTTCGCCGAATAAACCGCACATCAATAATGTTGTTCCGCGCACCCACACGCAACCACGTAGCGTCCACTTCATAGCGCGGACGTGACGGTCAGTAGAGTGAGGCTAGGTGCACGATCGCTGTCGTTTGTTGATATCTAACTACGGCATATTGTCACCATGGAAAATAGACGAATGGACTAGCTCTACTTGGCAGGTCTTGACAACACTGAGGTACGCACACGCAGCGTTCAAAACCAGCAGCACGCTGCCCACGACTTTTAAATTTATCCCTCTTCACACCCCCACTTCGGTCATAGAATACCCGTGAAAGCCTTTCACACAACAACCGCTGCGACGTAACGAGGCCGGTCAGCCTGGGGTCACATAGTGGCCGACCCCGAACCCGCGCTCGTGCAGGTTAGGTCAAGACGACAGTACAAGGTTAAGTCCGCAAGGTGAACACCGGAGCGTCCTAAATCTATAGCGTCAAAAAGGTTGACACATTCGCTTTCACATGACTGCGGTGGAAGAGAGATCGCAGGGGTTCTGAAATCACTGGCAGCTGACCTTGACCTTTGAAGGAGAAGGTCACACTGCATTATTTTTTAGATAGCGTTAGAGGTGCTGAAGTGGCGAAATGGTAGGACTCAAGGAGTTTGGTAGTTGTTTTTTTTACGTGTACAGGCGCGAGGAGTGGGCCCAATTCACATCACGCACGTGGTCGACATAGAAGGAAACAAGGACCAAAAGAGTGCAAACATTTATCGGATTAGCGCGAGTGGGACTATTGCTAGATGAATAAAACCAGCGCAATAACTTAAGCTCTCCTTACTTCATATCCAATGAAATTTGAATAGACCACTACGAGCTGTTGTTTTCATGGCGATTGGGCTAATCTTCGTGGCGAGGTCCGGCTTCTGTGGGAGTTCGGCTCTAGAACAATCCTAAACCGCTCTCGCCCATACGAGCTCACTTCGCATCACTCCAGCATTGACGTTGTACGGCAAGCTAGTTTACTGAGCGCATCGGATATGGTGATCACAAAGACATGCAGATAATTTGGTCCAGTCCAGCTGCCAAAATGTATACCAGATGAACGGAATATTTCGCACATGGCCACAGTGAAACGCGGCGAAACAGTGACTCGTCCGACTTTAGCAGAGCCTGCCCAGACTTAAGCAGAGTCAGGCAAGCTTAGGCAGAATCTGCTACCGCGTTCGCAGAAACTGCCAATTCCAAAACGGGCTGCAGCGGCATCCTAGCTTCAGCGGAATCTGCTCAACTTCAGCGGAGTCTTCACAGCTTGGACACCATCTTCTAACTGGCGGTGCCCACCGGCAGACTCCGCATCTACCGCTGCCGTTTTCAGTAGACCCTACCGGTGCCGTATAGGGAGTTGATCCAGCTTCGGCGGATGGCTTCCAGCCGACCCGACCTCGTGTCAGCGCGCTGCGTAGCCGACCCCAGCTCGTACGGGCCCTGAAACAGACCGAGACCAGTGACGTCATCGCACTATAGAACACAGTTAGCTTGGAGGATATCAGATGCCTTTTGGGCAATTTAAGCGCGAGCTGTTTTCCCAACAGAAGTGCCAATAAGACGTGTTGTATGGCGTGGGATGAGCGGAGTGGTAGCGGACGTGGAGCGGACATAGCGGATAATGAGGGTGAAAACTGTCTGCTATCGCCGTAAGATGCATCTTTACAAAGGAACTCGCATCCCGTTGGAAACCCCTACAGATGTATCTGATGACTCATCAGTGCGCTGTTATTTCCGTCTATCACATAACTTGAACAGGCACGGGCTCGGTGAGCATGAACTTGACTTGAATACACGCCTGTTAAGTGTGATCCGGCGTCTCTTGTTTTTGGACACAACGTGGTGCATTCCAGATCGATTTCGAATAAGACGGCATTGGCCTACGCCCCGTTGGCGAAGGCCGATTTCGCCCGGGCGCGTATGGCGACCAGACAGTGCTGGGACCTATGAGTGATTTGTGCATGGTGCTTTCACCTATCTCACGCAGTTGGTTTTAGGACTTAAAGTGCTCTAGGCGTGGAGATCTCAAGTGGATCCAGGAAGTGTCCCAACCCAAGGCTTGAGCAGGAGAGAGGGTGGCTGCTGACGGATGTCCGCCGAGACTTCTGCCGACACAGCTGCCTGTTCTCTGTTCCGACAAGCGGTCTTGGCCTCTCATACTTGGCATGCCGCCACTGAAACTGAGTTCGGTTTCTGCCCGTGTTCTGTAGCTGTTTGCATTTAACCCGTTTTGCGTTTACAACATAAGCCGCATGGAGAAGGCTATGCAATTCTTTCGCGTATGCTGCTGGAAAATCATTGCTGACCAAACACCTTGATCAGGAATGACTAAAACATAAATTTCATTGGAATGATTGCTGTCCAGTTTCATTATATATATATATATATATATATATATATATATATATATATATATATATATAATGAAACTGGACAGGAAATCATTCCAATGAAATATATATATATATATATATATATATATATATAATATTTATTTAAAACCTCGCACACAAACGCAGGGGAGTAACTTCGTATGCTTTGAGGGAAGTGTGTACGGGCGGGCGGGGGGGGGGGGGGGCTAGTTCGGGCCTTCCCACCAATCTCAGATATTTAGCATGATAGGCTCAGCGATGCATGGAAAGAATCAGCTGAAAAAGTCAGGGATTACTGTGCATCCCTCCTCCAACCACACACATTTTCTCGAAAGCGCCTTGCTACCACATCGTTACAACCCATACACCAACACTCATACACCAAAATGTTTTACTTTTTGCTGGAAACCGTCCGCAGCTGCGATCAGTAGGTCCGGAGACATCAGTTTCTAGAAAACGTGATGACGGGGTTAAGCCTGATCATCGGTCAAAACTCTCCCGCTGTCCAAGTAAGGTTCATTGATCGTATGAGTCTTATTTGATAGATGAAGCTGATTCCTGCCACTGCTCTGCCTCCATGTCAATGCCTTCTGGATCCACAAAATCGCGACGCAAGGCCATTCCCCAAATGTTTGACTGGTTTCGGCAGCAATGCTGGAAAGTGCAGTACAGAGGTGGAATTGTAAATACAAATGGCCAGTCTGCGAGCAGGAAAAGTGATGCCTGGCTCTTCAAGGACGCTCTGTGGAAATGAGCCGACCACATTGCGAACGTGGGCACGCAAGTGTCTATTACATCATTCCTCGAGCTAGTAGTATCGCAGTTTTTCACTGGTCGTTAGAGCGCGGCCAAAATTATCTCCATCCCAAACAAAGCCCACAATCACCGGCGGATCCAAAGTGGAGAAGCGGAGCCATGATGAAAAACCAGGTGAGAATTCGAATTTAATGTTTTTGCTTAATTGTGTTGCTTAATTGGCCTCGATATTGTTCCACCTCGCCCCACCCTTGCAAGATCCGAGGCGGTACCCGCCGTTGACCTGAAGCAGCAGCGCCACCGTCGGCAAGGCCTCCCGTCAGCGCGCAGTGGCATAATTAGTACGCCTCGAATTACGCCAGTGGCCCTGATGCATAACGACGCGCGGTTGGCTGACCCCTAATACCATCGGATTCTCCTTACTTGAGGACCACCGGGTATGCGCCGGACACCGAAGCGGACCACCCCAGAAGGCCCCGCCCCGTACGCCTAATTCTGAATGAATGGCTCATTGGCTGCGCACAGTCGGACACGCGGGTACTGGGTGGTCCCAGGCACGGCACGCGTAAGGGGAGGAAGGAATAGGGAAAATGGACTCTTCCAGGTACATCTTGCTAAATGATTGTCATCCATACCTCATCACAAATAAATTGGCAGGACGCATGTTGACTGCACTTTTATCGGATGTGTAGGGAGTGCTTTCCGGACCAGATGTCAACAAAGCGCCAGTTTCCCACGTGTAACCTCCCCTCTGCATGTAGTAGACTCGGCCGGCGGCGCCTGTGTGGTCGGCCCCGGGCGACAGCGCACGGGCGGCCAGCTGACGACCACCCAGGAGCGCGCGCCGCATCGCCCGGCAGTACCTCCGCGCAGGAGATACCACGACGCGACCGCCCGCGCTGAGGACAATCAATTTGCGCTGTGTGGGCGGCCGCCGCCCAGACGGTGGGGAGTTGGGGTGGTCGCCACCCGCGCGCGTCGGCAGACCCGACGCGAAGCGCTGCCGAGCGAACGTGGGAGGTGGGACGGACCAACAGCGGAGCGAGCCGGAACGGGATCGTGTTTACCCGGACCCGGCGGTTGCGATTTGGCAGCGCTTGGGAGGCAGATACGGGGCTGGCGTGGACGGTCCCATCACGAAAGGAGGGGAGGACACGTCGTTTATTACTGCTGAAATGGTGGCGTCTGTGACTTAGGTTCTTACTCGTAGAAAGATACCTACGTAAACGGGAAAATCATATTTACATAAATATTAATACGGGCTTAAGCGTGTTTAGCTTAAGCAATTGTTCGGGCCATCAATTCGAACAATTACACCGACCAGTCAACCCACCCATGGTGGAGCTGCTTATTCGGATTTAAATGAATACAGAGTAGGTGCTGATGGTGTTCCAGAGCCAAATTTTCAAACATCACTTGTGTGTGCTCTTGACAAAAATTAGGCTGGTGGTTCCAGACGATCACAAACCTGAGTAATGTCTTTTTAGTAACATTAAATCCCCTGTTTGATATTCAAGCCTATCCAACTTGAGAACTGCAAAGAAAATCTTAACGAGTGATACGGGAGGGGAGGGGTTGGGGGGGCTGCCCCTCTGATCATCAGGTTTCATACCTGCAGAACAGAAACTAAGAGAAGCGCGCCTCTGATAAGGGGGCGGATAAAGAGGCACTAGCAAGGCAAAGGGTCCTCGAGCTTAAATCACTCACAGTCGAATCACTGACAGTGAGCGTTGTATTTGAACTGAGGTAGACATCTGGGCTACTAAGGTGGTCTCAGAGGTCATTTCTGAATCGTCATGAGTTGGAAAGAACTACACTGAAATAATATTCTGGCGATCCCTACCCAAATGTCCCCCACCCCCCGCCCCCATCCCCTACCCGCAACACGCTGCGGGCATGCCGATGACATGGCTGACGTAAAGGGGCTGGATCATTTGCCTCGTCTTACTGCAACATTTGAATGTAACTCAGCCCACTTCACGTGTGCGAGAAGCCGTGACAGCATTCCTCCCTTCTTAGATGCACTGGCAGAGGCCCGGGGGAGTGTTTCATAACAGCCGTATATCAAAAGCCATCTGATGTTGGAGCCACGACGAGAGCCCGCAGTGGATGTTTCGAAAGACACAAAAAGAGTGTTGTTAAAGTATCTGTTCGAAGGGCTTTGCGTACGTGTCCAAACTATGCTCTTACACACTGAACTCAACCGTGTCAAACAAAAACTAGTGAACAACAGGTACACGTATGGTGAAGTGGCAAAAAATATATCAATTGCCTGATAGTTATTCGCACCACCGTCAAAAATCTACAGACCATTCCATCCACATTACATAGGATCGTAACTAGATGAGTTCACCATACACAATTGACGAGAAGGTATTGAAATGTATTGTGTCTAAAAACTAACAGAGATAGACGAAAATATGCTAATATTGCAAATATTTTGCAAAAATTCCAAAAATAGAGACATCTTGATGAAAAACAAGCAAACCCAGACAGAGGTGTTGAAGCGCACCAATGAAGTATGTAAATCTTCTTGTCCCAACGAAGATTGCAGCATTCGTTTCGCATCCTACATGGTTGTAACATCTTTGTCCCAATGCCTCAGAATGCATCTCACGAAAGGAACACCGAAGAGACCACATGCAACGCGACCACAGTACTCGCTTCAGCACGCCAAATGCTCGCATATAACATCGATATTTTAACATTTGCAAATGACACAAGAAAATTCAACATTCTTGAAGCTTTACTCACTCTATACCTTCCACTAGTGCTACACAGACAAATCTATCAAAACTTTTGAATTGTCTCTTTGGGGCATTATCGCCAATAAATTACACAGACAACAAACTGACAAACTGACTGACAAAACCACGCGGGGATCAGGTCATCGGCAGGCAGTATTGGGTTCGTTACGTTGATTGTGTAGGTCACAGTGTGTGATGTCAGTGATGCTCCTTGCACAGCTAGAGGTGATCTGTTTTAATCATGGCAAAACGGTGCGTAGTATAATCCCATGAAAACCCATCTGCTGTTTGCATGCTCGTGTTTTATGGTCTGATTTCTAATATGTCAGTTGCCAACCTGATATGAAGACTGCCTTTGAGAACGGATGTGGGATGAGTCCGAAACGTTAAATTCAGGTACCTTTAATCCGTCAGGCAATGTGAAAAGCAACGTTTGGAAAGTAGAAAAGCTTGGCCGGGAGCTATTCAAAAGCACAAAATGCCGCAACATACATATATATATATATATATATATATATATATATATATATATATATATATATGTATATACATATATACACACACATATATATATATATATATATATATATATACACATATATACACACATATATATATATATATATATGTATATATGTATGTATATATATATATATATGCTCCTACATACAACGTTTGCAATCAGTTTACCACACAAGCTGAGCATGGATACAACTGACAGTGTGAGTAGTCGATTAATTAAAAGTCACTTGCCAGTTATGTCGTCATATGCTGTTCATCAAAGAAAAATCTGGCGAGTGACCATTGTCATACGACTCTTTCTCTCATGCAAGATGGCCGTAGCAGCAGAACGCTGTGTTAGCCATAGCGCTCTTCCTCGTTTCGCACCTATACGCCGGCCGAGCCTTACCTGGTAGTTCTTCATCTTGCCGCCTGTGGCGCTGGTGTCAGTAGCGGCATCCAGCGAGAAGTTAATGATCGCCGCTTCGCCGTGCTTGGGGTTCACAACATGCACGCGCTGCATCTTGGGGACGTAGCCCGGGGCAGACACGGTGACCTCGTACAGGCCCGGGGTCAGCAGACGGTAGTAGTCACCGTCGCGGACTGAAAAAAAAAAATGGGAAACTCGGGTTGTGCTCCGCATGGCGCTACTAATGACTGCTATTACAAGTGCATGGCATAATCAATTGTCGTAAAGCATTACCTATGGCATCGCTTCTAGTCGCAGTTCGCGCTTGTTTAGCACTGTCACGAGGTTTTTAAGCTTCTCCGACGAGGGCTATAATGACACCAGTGAAACATTTACGGATTAAGCGAGATTCGAACCAGAAACCCACGATCCGGAACAAGACACGCCATCAGTTGCGTAGCTTGCGACCGATCATTAATCTGGTAGCTGACGACACTGACCGGCCGATTTTTGGTAGCTGACAACACCGACCGGCCGATTTTTGGAGGCTGACAACACTGACCGGCCGATTTTTCACGGCTTCATGAAGAGGACGAGCAGCTGTTGTCCTATCATTTCACTGCGTGCGTGGGCCATAAAGGCATACGCTGTGCAGAATTGTGGTTTGGACGGCCTGGTACGGCCTGAACTTGTGAAGACTAGGAGGTATTCTTGACAACGCCGCCTTGCCAGGCGAGCTTGGTAGGGGTGCAGCCATTATTTTCTTAAAGGGGGGGGGGGGGAGAGCCCAATGGAAACGTATCACACCGATTTTTAACACTTTCTGTCAGGAGCCGTCTGTAGTGAAAACCCAGTAGGTGGACCTCCCCCCCCCCCTCCCCACTTGTCTGCGCCTCCGGGGCTTTCAATTCTGCACCTCTTAACTGCACGCGCGCTCTGCACGCGTTCCCTATTGGCAAAGTACCTACCTGAGCTGCTGTCTTTTACGTCGCAAGTGCCCACATCATACACGAGTGACCAGGGGCAGCACCAACGGGGGGGGGGGGGGAAGGGGACACGTGCCCTTCTATCGTCAGATGCGGTGTGCGTCCACTCCTATATTTACGACCTTCTTTCGGGAGAAAATATGCCCTTCACACAGATTTCTGAGGAGTCCACTTCACATCGGCAGTTCACATAGCTGCAAATGCTAGTACGATGCTACTAAAATTACAAAAGACCACTGGGCAATACTTCCCTACACTGACCGAGCGCATACAATACCTTCCACGCTAAGGCTAGGAGGTGACTGAAGCATCACGTGATTGCAACCTATAGATAAAACGACATATAGACATTACAAATATGGACAATATATTATAGACAAAACGACATATAGACATTTGTAAACGGAAATGTGAAGCCTGATATCGAATTGGTAGAAAAAAAATGGTAGACGTACTACAATGTAGCATTTTTAATTCCCCGGGCACGGCTGTTATTTTTGTACGCCCTCGCCAATGACTATTGCGTTTTGTTACCACTACCGCGGTCGTGTTTCTGCAGTAGCTTTAGAACACTGACAGCAACCGCTCTGTAATTTTGTGGATGTTTTATGTTAAATTTTTTGAAGCGTTTTTGTAAAATATTTATAACCCATTACGTCACTGAGATGGCAATCCAAGGGAAGAAGGATAATCCGAAGGGAAATGCTTCTGGGCTTAGCGAAGAATACAAAAAAAGCACACGCACACACAAACGGTGGAGCGAAATGACGCAAAATTGTCGCCACCTCGTATCCAGTAGAAATCTTGAAGTTCTAAGTCGGTCCCTTCGCTGGCCGAGGCTAGTCTGAAGTCAAAGTTAAAAAATGAGTGCCCCCCCCAAAAAATAATATGTTTAGGGATGGACAGATTTGCTAAGCATTGTAGAAGTGTCCAAATTGTACAAAGACATGTACATTTACTGATTTGATGTAATCTTTAATCGTCCTATTGTCTATAACTTGCAGAAGAATGGCAGAGGAACTTTGACATTTGGCTCCTATGAGGAAGATTATGGCTTCGTGCCTGAGGAAATGGTACTGTCCTCGCGGCCACGCCGTTTTATGTTCACGGTGCGCTGCAAAGCCTTTAAGGGGGGGGGGGGGGCACAAATGCCACTCACCAGTCGAGGAAGGCTTTCTATTCTACGCCACCCATGAATGCACAAGACTTTTTCGGATTTCATCCGAACATTTTTGAATGATTGGATTTTTGGGATCCGAGCTCATGCTAAGCAGCGCTTGTTACGTAAGCCCCTGACTCGTATCATTCGATCGTGTAAGTTCGGATCAACGCTTGAAGTTGGCGGTGAAAGTTTAACGTGCCACAAGGCACAGCACAGATCGCCCTACTCGCTGTCATTACCTGACCTTTAGCGCGGCCGCTGCCACCGGCCACAGGCCATACTCATCAAGGACAAATAGCGAGCGCCTAAGGCAACTCACACCCACGCCGCCACTGAACGGATGGATGGTCGGAAGGCAGGCGCTCTAACCAGGGGTGCAGTCAGGATTGTCAGGGAAGGACCCGGAGCTTGGAGAGCACGGCGAGTTCTCGGTGAGTTCTGCCCGGATCTCGGTGTGCACGCTTTACCGCGATTTTGAGCTCCTGTCGTGAGCCATCTATGGTGAAAACGAAAAATTCGGGTCGAGGAGGGGGCCTGGGCCGCCCAGACCCCTGCCTTGGCTGCGCCCCTGGCCTCTCGCGACACCCCGCTTGTCCGGGGCAGGCTGCATACGTCAGCCACGAATGGGCCGAGAGCCCCGTGGGAAGGGGGACCCCGGCCGGGTACCCGCGCATGCGCGGGTTAGACCTCGGCGGTTGCCCCCCCCCCCCTCCCCAGGCGCATGCACGTCTGTCCCATCGCTAACCATTTCCATCATCCCATAGCCCTGAAATGATCATGTCTGGTCGAAAGGGGTCTAATCCGAAAAACCAAAAATAGTGAAGGAATTAAATTGTCACGTTGTTACTCCATTGTTACCCCATTGCGCTCTGACATGTAATTTATGTAACCTGAAAACACCACTTTTCATTTTTTGCTCCTTACGCCCGTCGCATTATTCCGGGTCGCGCTACAAGCTACTTACGTCAACGCTACGGAGGCGCCCAGGAGCAGCACCACCCGAGGGGCAAGGGGTAAACTACCCCATGTCATTTTCCAGGGGGGAAATATGCCCCCCCCCCCCCACAACAACCCGTTTTCCTCAATGTGAGGCATTACGCAAGCGAACCCATCCCGAAAGTCATCAAACTTGATCGTCTTCTCATGACACTGCCCGCCAGTTTAGCCACAGCGGAATAAAGTTTCGCCACGCGGCGGAAGCTGAACACTTGCTCCACTTAGTGGTGATGCAGAGGAGGATCGATGCAACAGCAGTGTGTCGCGTGCATCGCCTTCGCCTGGATCGACTTGATACAGCCCATGCCGCTCACTTTTGTCAGTCTGAATACATCACGTCAGAAAACACTGGCTGAGTTTAGGGCGACACCATAAACGGTGTTGGTGCAGACATATAGGGAGTATGCAAACTTTGTGATGCTCAGGCAGAACGTCGTCGTTGGGATGCTTTTGATACCACTGTCGTAAATACCCATGTTTATTAAAAGCTTTTACTTTTCCATAAACAAACAACTTTTTTAGAGTCGGGCGTCCAAGTCATTGTTGGCTGCGAGTTAAAAACATATGAAATGTCGCCTTGTGGAGCTTTTTCCATGGTACATACTCACGTTTATGCACTGATACATTGTATCACCAATTATTCGAAATGATATCATCCATTGTGCGGGGAAATGGCTGCGAAACTGCGGAAAGATTTTTTTTTGGGGGGGGAGGGCATTGGGCAACGGACGTTCTTCCACGCCGGGAAGGCAGGGGGGTGATGCCCTTTTATTTATTTGTTTCCGGTCATCGCACACACAGAACTATTCATTTTTACAAACCCAAATTTTCCAAAAGTTGTAGGTCTCAGATGCTGCCCCATCCCTGGCTCGCGCCCTTCCATGTCTTACGGTGGCGCAGCACAAGGTACTTAAGAAAATTTCATAGCAATGATCATTTACAAGAAAGTTAGTTGCTAAACGCAGGATTTCTCACTCATCTTATATACAAGTGTCGTTGTTTTGGTTTTACGACCTCGCCTCTCCCCCCCCCCCCTCCCCTATCAACAGGTGGTGGTGCCGCCCCTGCCAGTTACTATCTTCCAAGCCGCAAGAGCTGTTGTGACGCGCTTGCCTCTGACGTCATAGGTTGCAACTTTTGGACAGCTGTTGGTGGTGATGAACACAGACCTGGCGGATGTTATACTCACAGGATGTGACGTCATGTTCGATGTTGTAGCTCCGGGAGGCCGTGGAGTTGAGTGCAGTGACATTACGAACAGCGATGGTGGCGCCACCTATCGGAGACCTGTTCTGGGCGTCCTTGACGATGCCCTTGATACCGGTGTGCACCTGCGGCAGCCAGGGAGGTCTGATTGGCGGAGGGATGGCAGTGGAAACTGAGATCTTTGCAAAACTTACTTAAGCGGCACAATGGTGCCATCTAGTTCAATGTGATTAACATTCACTCGGAATATTTCCGTGCTTGATGCAGCTCTCTGGGCACCTACAGTTATGAAAAGCGCAAATCATTGCGAGCTAATCAATTTCTTTCACTGACATTGTCATCCACGGCCAGATCCACAACCGTCCAGCTTTCCAGCAATCTGAGTTGTGAGCTGGCGCGTTCACCGCATTGGTGCACGCTGGCCTGCCAAATTCTCATCCATCGATTAATCAAACCCATTTGCATGATTCCCGCAACTTTCCACCTCTCATAGCTTAGGTTAGGCTCTCGCCGCTTAGATTTCCGAAGCCGTTTGGTAATGTCCTCTATGTGTCATAGTAATCACTTCCGATTCAAACCGTTTTGCTCGAACCATGCCGCACGAAACATATCATTACGTTATTACGCCTCTTACTGGCAAAATAAAAGGGAGCACGTGGTTAATGTCACTGCAACAAAACCATGCAAACGTCGTCACTCAGACTTAATCAGCCATGGTGACGTTACTGACGGCTTCATTCCCGCACAACGGACCGCCCTTGCCCAAAGTCAGGAGATAAGACAAAACGTGTATTTTCTGAGCTTAGTTTATTGATAAATCTTGCCTTTTGGCGTCGTATTCAGTATCCGGTACCGATTCCCATAAAGTGATGTTGGATCTACTCTGAGGTAATGTATTCACAGAAAAGACCAGACAAGCATTCTCTGTGGCATACGTTGTAAAGTGTTGTCATGAATCTGGCAATGTGGACTAGATGCGTTTTCTTGTCGCGTCGGTATCCATAAGCTCTGCAACAAATGCTTCCGTGGTGACAACGCATGACCGTGTTTTCCGGGATCTCTGCCTCAGTGTACAGGCAGATACCAAATGAAGGCGTCCAGAGCGATGCGGGGTAACCTAAAGACCAATTTTACATTATTGTACCTGAATTTGGTCCGAATTATGTCAAATAAAGGGATGCGACTGCTCACAATCCGGGTTCGCTGCAGCATTTTTTTTTGCGTTTTGGCAGGATAAGTCGCATTCAGGAGAGATTCAGCAATAGATGCAGACTCATTACATTGTCGCCATGCCTGTGGTGTTTTATTATCGTAACATTGTTGCGCCAGCTGTTGTTTATACTGCCACTGTTTTGTGAAGTAGGTAGTGACTCACGCTGCCGCACTGAGAGCAGCGTTAGTAGCGCATAAATAAATACTATAAAGGCTCATCATCCTAGACAGTGAGATCAACGCTGTTTACCCAAACATCCAGCCAATCGGCTTCCCGTTAAAACGCTTCAACAGCCGTGGTAGACAACTGTCCCATGCTGGACGGAAAGTAACAATGACTCTAGACCTTGCACCCTCGCCAGTTTGTGTGGTTGTATAGCCGCCAACGGCAGATGTGTAGCGCAAAGAGAAAATAGGGCCTTTCCCAATTTGATGTGGCCAATCGCATTTAGGTTAGTCCTTTGAAGCTGAATCTTAAGATGACCTGTCGGGCATTGCAACGTGAATGTAAAACAGCTTCTTTGTCAACTTCATGCAATATATATATATATATATATATATATATATATATATATATATATATATATATATATGAAAAGTTATTTCCAAGGTGGCGTGACGCCGAATGGAATGTGTCACATCGCACCCTCCTATGACCTTTGCCCTTAATGGCATTGAAAACAAAATTTGCGGTAGCACGTTGAGTTTGATCCCAATTAAATGTAAAAAACTATGATACTGTTACGTCACGCGACCACGACCTTGGTTAACCTTTTAAAAGATCATGGAAAAAGATGGCGTGCAAAATGCGAACACTATGTTCCTTCAGAGCCACTGGGACTATTGCACACGTAGTCGCAATCTGTCGCGGAAGCTGAAGACCTCCAATGGACCCCTGGGGATCCAAAACAGTGGTCAGTGGAGAGGAAGGGAAAGGAGGGACGAATGACTTATCGTTCTTCCTCAAGGTCAAAACTGATATCGGTCACGCTCGTTATACGGCGCAGCTTACATGTAGCATACATGGTGCGTTGATTCTTGCTTATCCACACTTCTTTAGGTCACATCCATTTTCCCTCAGGCCAATGATCATCTTAGTAATTCAACAATGTCATCTCCGTGTTCCTCTGCGGACCAGATTTGTTGAAGCAATAGGCACAGCACCCTAGCGATGCCATTAACATCCAAAACAACGTCGTCTAACATCATGTGATCACCACTCGTTGGCGACGCTTGGATGGCCTTCAGGGTAACAGCCCTTAGCGTTAAAATATTGTCCAACTTTAAGCAAGGTCAAAAGGTCAGCCTTTGCATTCGGCAGGCCGACTCCCACGTGATGGACTGACAGCGGACGCCCACCAGGCCAATTCTGCTGATCTTTTAATCCCCCAAGGGACCAGCCATCGGACGTCTAATCGCCACTCTATGGCCCCGCGGTGCTTGGCCATGGCGAAGCGAGTGTAAAATGTCCCATAATTCGAAGGAAAATGTCGATGAGGAAAAGTTAAATGGCAAGGCGTTCTATGATGCGAGAACACGGCTAGTTCCTTAATCAGTTGACGGATTGATGGAGAGGTGACTTTGTCACCGGAAGTGGTGTATTTCAACGTAATAATTGTAGAACACATCAATAATGAAAAGGGGAATCGATTAAGCATGGCTTGGATATGAACGTGTCACATGCAAGAACAGAATGGAGAGGACAGAGAGCGGCTGCAATAAGGCTATGAATTTGAGACTCACGATGGTGTGCAAATCTCTAAAGCAGGAAAATGGATCTCGCATATGACGTCAAGGCGATAAACAGTTCAGTACAGACCGATGAACACCGTCTGCGAACAATGCAAGAAAACGAGCTTATCGTGTTCTATGTGACTTGACTTCATACTACAATTTCCATGCTTCAATTTGTTCACTTATATGTCAAGAATCTGTCAGCGAAGTTGCTTGTTATGAGTATGCTTAATGGCCCCAACGAGGAGTGGTGTTGCCACATATGTTGTTCGTTCTTTCGGTTTCGAAGTCCAAGTCACCTGAGACGTGCGGCGAAACAAGATAAGAAACAAGCGTATTAGGGAGCCACCCGCCCGTTTTACCTCTTTTCTTCAACGCAAACCCGCCTCTGTTCCGTCCATTCAACGTACCTGCCAAATGAAGTTGAGCAGCGCTGGGAGGTTGTCCTTCCACTCCTGCTCCAGCTGCTCTTGCGGCGGGTACTTGTCGCAGCCCAGTTCCAGCGTGATCTCGAAGTCGTTGGACGCGAGGTAGTTGAAGTCCTGCATACCTGAGGACGTTCACGAAATGTGTAGGATGCGAGAGCGAGAGCGAGAGCGAGAGAGAGAGAGAGAGAGAGAGAGAGAGAGAGAGAGAGAGAGAGAGAGAGAGAGAGAGAGAGAGAGAGAGAGAGAGAGAGAGAGAGAGAGAGAGAGAGAGAGAGAGAGAGAGAGAGAGAGAGAGAGAGAGAGAGAGAGAGAGAGAGAGAGAGAGAGAGAGAGAGAGAGAGAGAGAGAGAGAGAGAGAGAGAGAGAGAGAGAGAGGAGAGAGAGAGAGAGAGAGAGAGAGAGAGAGAGGAGAGAGAGAGAGAGAGAGAGAGAGAGAGAGAGAGAGAGAGAGAGAGAGAGAGAGAGAGAGAGAGAGAGAGAGAGAGAGAGAGAGAGAGAGAGAGAGAGAGAGAGAGAGAGAGAGAGAGAGAGAGAGAGAGAGAGAGAGAGAGAGAGAGAGAGAGAGAGAGAGAGAGAGAGAGAGAGAGAGCAGCAGCAGCAGCAGCAGCAACAGCAGCAACAGCAGCAGCAGCAGCAGCAGCAGCAGCAACAGCAGCAGCAGCAGCAGCAGCAGCAGCAGCATCACAGCAGCAGTAACATTGAAGAGCCTTGTTGTGGCGGAAAACCCAAAGCAAAACGTAGAAAAACGTTACGTCCAGAAAAACGTTCAGAAAAAATGGCATTACTCGATCTCCAAGGACAGTGCATCAGAATGTCTCAATGAATCCATAAAATTGGCGAGCATGATCTTCCATATGCTACATGGAGAGTTGGGCATAAGTATAACACTATTTGCTCAGTCCTACGGTCTGCGAAGCTATCTAACTTAATTTTATTGCATACCCATCTCATTCATTCAGTCGGGAAACATACTCCCTTATCTTGGACGCAAATGCGATCAGCCTCCCTCCCACCCCCTCAATTATACACCGGCTACTGAGCGCGTCCTTGGCAAGCCACCATCATACGCCACCTACTAAGCACGCCCCTGATTGTACCACCAATTACACATCGCCTTTTAAGCACGCCCCTGATCAAACCACCAATCACAATCCACCTGCTAAGCACACTAAGACCAGCTAAGCTGATCAGACCACCAATCACACTCCGCCTACCTCCAGCCACTGTGTACCAAGCCGCCCCATTGGTGATGCCGCGCTGACAGGAGAAGTTGTGCGAGCCCGAACAGCCGGGCGTGCTGGGGTCGCCCATGCGTGCGTGGGCCTCGGCGTAGGCCAGGGCCAGGCTCCTGCAACGGGCAGTATGATCAGCGTGGTGCGCCATGGCTGGGGTAGTATAAATGAGTTATACTTGAGGTCGCGGGTTCGAAACCTAGGCAGTGGCTGTGGTTTTGGTCCTTGACGCAGCGATGGGCTCCAGAGACGGGGATCCAAGTGACCGGGGACTACGGCTGATGAGCGTTGAGTATGCCTGAGTTGATTTCTGTGTTTTACAAACTAGGCTAATAACAGCTTCGGCGATGCCAAGGAAGCCTTTTTAGCTAGATGAAAAAAACACAGCTTGCACAGGGAGCTCAGACTGTGCTCCACAATATTTACGTAACCTTGTCACAGGGTATATATTTTGAGTGAATCAGTGGTATTAGATCATCCTCGGCCGTAATCAGATATATCCGATCTGTACAGGAGCACGAATTTTCGAGATCCTCTAAGATACCGAGGGTATTTATGGTGACGGCGTTGGAGAGACGAGATTATCTGTGCTCTTGATCCTGGCTGCGTTTTACCCTGCATGATGAGTGGTGCGAGCACTCAATATGCCTAAGTTTGATAACGAGATGTGCAAGTCAGTGGTACAATGAGGCCTTAGTGGTTAGTGGTAAAATTAGTGGTAGTAGTTCGATGCACAAGTCACGATTTTCAGCATGTTGCGCCGGTGCGTTTAGTTCTACTTTTCACGTGGCGCGCTAGAATGCATTTTTGGCGCGTCGCCACACTGAAGTTGGCGGTTACAAGGTCTTTTGGTGTTTTATGACATTTCGGTGCGCACGAGCTGCCGGACCAGTACGGTACAGAATGTTATCGATTCAAGTGGCACTAAGTGTGACGTCAGTGTGGCGTCGACGACCAAATGCAGATGCTACTCACTACCCTACTGGTGTCGGAACAGGCACAACTGCGCCAATTGGTAGCTTGTGCGTCTTGACTTCCCAGTCGGTGCCGGCGACGACCTGTTTTGTCAGGTTTGACATGTGCTGATGTAATGTATGATAGCGTGAGCTCTCCGGCAGTGTGTGTGTGGGGTGGGGGGGGGGGGGGGGGGGGGGGGGGGGGGGGGGGGGGGGGGGGGGGTGGGGGGGGGGGGGGGGGAGGGGAGGCCTGCGCGATACAACTAACAAAGTCTTAGGACCCAATCCCACCTTATTGTTTTTAAGCTTCTCTGTTGTGTACGCTTGTGAGGTACATTAAAAGGAGTAAAGTTTCATTAAATGGATTAAAGTTGCGTTAAAGGGAGTAAAGTTTCACACTCGAAGATATTAAACAAGTATTAGATATCACAAACATGCTCACTTATAACTATCTGTATGCTCTTCAAGCGGAAAAGACTGCTCCGAACAGCGCTATTCTCTGTTTATTAAATATGCTCCTCAATGCGTCGCCATTTCATTACGTCACTGTGCATTGCACAACATTGATTGAGCGCCAATTGACAAGGCCGTTTTACATTTAAGCTTGCTCACGAGGGCCAGAAATAAATGCCTGGACAACTATGTTTTCTTGGCCTTGATCGCCGCATGGCTGACGGAAGTGGCAGGATTTAAATGACGCTTATATGACGTTATGAATGCCAAGGTGGCTTTGAAAGACTCTCCCCGAAATGCTCTCCCCATTTTCCCAGACGTTAACCTCATAAACTGGAGGACCTTGGGTCTTAAGAAGGGCAGGACTGTGAACAGCACTGGAAGGTCTTCAAGATGGCTGTTTCAGGTGCAGAACGCCATATAAATGTGGAGCACTCCCTTTAGGTATTGTGTTAAACACAAAACCACAAAGCGGTAGCACATTTGAGTATAGCACACTGGACGGCATCGTTCTGATAGGTTGCTTGGTTGCAGGATATTACCGCAGGAAATATGGTCAGTCATCATCGAGTCATAGATTATTACAGATGTAGAAAACAAAACAAAGTGTAAGTAGCGACAGGAAATGCGTAGCAGCCCCACAATATCCAGGCCAATTCAGAGGTCAAGGTCAGTTGAGGTCAGGCACGTTATGACCCCAGATTATCCTATGACACTTAAGATACCGGTGCGGAATAAGGTACGACTGAATCTAACTCCGTCCCTATGTATTACAAAAACTCTAAGTGAATTGAACGTAGCTGAAGAAGTCCGAGAACTGGCGCATGACCTGACACTTAAGCACTTAAAGCACATATCTGAAAACAGATCATAGGAATGTTGTATTCGTCTGGCTGGACTGCGCTGAGCATCTCCGCTAATCGTCTATGCTCCATCTAGTTCATAAGGCATGGAGTCATCAACGCAAAATCTGCAAGGAACTGGGAAACAAGGGTGCCGGCAGTGTAGTGGTCAACGCGTATGCGTTAACCACTGCGCGTCTGGGAAACCAGAGGTACGGGGTTCGATTCCCTGCGGTGTCCGCCCTTCCTGCCAAGGTGAGAGGCAGGCGACGCCATATAGGCTCAGCAGCTGAGTGCGTCGTAAAGCCCCAATGACATGACAGAACTGGGAAACACAATGCCGAGGTTAGCAAGGGGATTAACAATATCTTGCGTCCCCAAAAAGTTTTTATTAATCGAAATCATCTCGTTGCCCTCATGCAACAAAAATCAAAGCAGCACAAAATGGTTAAACCGACCAAACATCATCTTAATTGGTCAAGTATGAGGCTAAAACGACATCACACAGGTAAATTCAGGCACCTTGAAAAGGACATAGAATCAATGTGGATTTGTGCTAAAATTGGCATCTTTTCGTTACACGCAGCGTGTGGGCGTGTGACACCGCTTGATCAGCAAAACAAAATGGGTGTGATGGTCGGATACTTGCGCAGATCCCTGAGCTCATCTGCGGCTTCAAACAGTGTGAGGTAAGCTTTTGTTGACACTCCGTGCCCATCAAGCCGCGATCAAAGCAAATGAGGCGGGCACAAATTGCCTGCTTTTATCAATATGTCGTGAGATGTCCCATAGGTCAAATATTTCGTGCCCCACGTATATCCTCGGAGCTGCCAAGGCATACAGGACACCAAGACCTTGAGCCACAATCGTAAATCGTGCATCTGCACCTGAAGTCACCAAGGTGTATAGTGCACCCGCACGGTACCTGAAGGTGCTGTCATCAGGCGAGCCGGGAATAATCAGCTGGCGAAGTGGACCGTGACTCGTCGTAGGGGTAGTTGGCCACCAGGTCCCCGCCGTGCATGTTGGCCGACAGCACGAACGGCTGGTCCACGATGTAGCGCATCAAAGCCACAGTTTCCGGCTGCGGCTGAAACCAAGATGGCGGTGGTCAGCCAAGATGGCGGCGGACAGGCAACATGGCGGCGATCAGCACGCAGTTTCGAGATGTTTTGGAGGCAGGATCGGCAGGACCAGCAGGACGGCTGGATTTAAAAAAAAAACGGTTAAGGTATCCTGGCAGTGGGCAACTATTCACGAGCATGAAGCAATCCCGGGAAAGGTACGAAGTGGTTTCCGGAAAACATCGTGTGCAAAGGTCCCAACAGACACCATCAGGTGATGACGCTGGCCGCAATGAGGTCATTGGTCACTGACAGCTGATGGCAGAACACAAGATGGCATAAGAAGCCCACGCGCTCCATAATGTCAATTATCATCATCATCGCCGGCAGCTGATGACGTCACATGATGACGGTCAAGAACTGCTGACACCGACTGCGGGGCTGGAACTGGCGGAGATTGCGAATTCTGCGTCAAATAGGGAAACAGGTGCCACGAAAGGAACGCCTGAGTGTCGAAGAATTATCCCTTGCTGGTCTCGCTGCAAATCCATAGACAATGGCGCGGCTAAAGGGGGGGGGGGGGGGGGGGCGTTAGGCGTTAGTCTCATAGACACTACCATGGAAGTTCCATGTAGAGCCCAACAGTCCGAATTTAGTAACAAGACTGGCGGATTGCCAAGTGAACCCGTACGGTATGCAGCTGAAGCAGATGTTTGAGGCAACAGGACAATTTAACGCCGATTGCTCTCATTAATATGCTAGGCATTGTACTATTAGCGTTTGCGGGTTTGTGGGATCTCTCAGTTTGTTCGCAGTGCTGGGACTCCCTGGTAAAAAGTCCCCGTCGCAAATCATGGTAGTCCCCTCCCCGTCGCAAATTTTGGCTGCACACCTGCAAAAAGATCATATTTGATGTGGGCATAGAACAAAAAGATCGCATGTGTTAGTGAGCAAGGACTGAACTGAACTGTAAAATGGAGATACATAATTATATGAATAATTACATAAATAACATAATTATAAATTAAAATAAGCAAAAATGTTTATTATTAAATAATAAATATTTATTATTATAATAAACAAATAGAATAACTGAAACAGGATGCACAATAAGACAGATAACGACGCTTGAAAACAAGCGGGTATGGATCTAGGTTGTTAACGCTGCATTTTTCAAGCGTTCCAACTTGGCAGTCAAGCAAGTTTTATAAATCAGCCACCTTTTGCTCAAAGTATCGGGATCCTATCATTCCTAAGCAAAATCGCCTTCATCTGATCAAGATGCCGCGATGTTGTAGTTTGCGCTTGGCAGTTAGTTATGTATGACTGTGCCAATAGAAATCGAGCTAGATGCGCGGTTTACAGACCCCATCACTGACGGATCTGTATTCTCGGATTCCTTAGTTCATGACCTGGTGCTAGTTCTTCACCACATAAAGAAAGCCAGAAGTAGATCCAACACATTTTAATCATCGACGGTGTTCAGTCGCCCAGGTCTGAAAATCGTCGCCCATGTTGCGTAGGTGGGCGCATGCGGTCTTCAGATTTTTCGCCCGGGGGACAGACTCAAGGTTTAACTTACGTTGGTTACCGTAGATAATTTGGTTACATAATGCCTCACGGTATCTTATCTAGGTTGTCGAGCTGTGCTTTATGTTTGTTGTGAAGCGTGATGAAATCACTGGCTGTCGCCGGGTGGCATTAAGAACAACGTACACATTGTGAAGGGCATAGGCTAAGAGCAAAGTACGGGTGTTCGGAGCGATATGGTAAGACGCTTTTGCATCAGACATCATGTCTTGACTGATGCCTAGTAACATCTGTTTCATTGCTTTTGGACAATTTCATATTCAAAAATGAATCTAGCGGAACAGGCATGACATTTTCGTCCCTATAATACCGACCTACCTACCCAATAGCATCTCGGGAATGCAGGTGTATGGTTCCGTGGATCTTTGGAACTTGCTACGCATTGTTCACTGTACTCAGAAAATCCAATCTTGGGCATGGAACATGCCAATGCTTTGCAACGACATGAATCCTGATTTTTCGTCTTGGGCGGAAGCTATTTCGGCACGTGCGCAATTTGCGGGTTCATTCGACTGGGCTTAACTTCGATGTCGCTCCAACGGAGCACCAAAGCGTGAAGTCTGCGACAGTAGTGCCTGTCGTCTACAGAGATCAGAGGTCCTGGAAATCCAGTTTGTTTGGAATCCAGAAATCCAATCCAATCCTGGAATCCAATCCAGTTTGGAACACAGTCAGTCTGTCGAAAATTGCACTGCGAAAAAGGCAGGTCAGCTCATGCAGAACGAGTTCGTCGCTTAATACCAGCAGAATAGTACCAATCTGTATGAGCAGGGGTTTTACTGGTGCCCAGGAATAGTTTCTGCAGCGCTCTGAAATGTCAGGCACACATTTGTCTCGGTGCATACGTGCCAGTTAGTGATAAAACTGCAAAGCACGCTAAATCCGGCAGTGAAACGCATCAGTGCATTGAACATAGCCCTGATATTCTTTTCAAATTGTATCTTAAATCCAAATGAATTACACCCCGAATCCGTATCAAATTACTACCCAGCGTCGACTGCAATCATTTCACACTTCCCGCCCACCATACGTCGGCACGAGATTTGATCACGTCGCGTCGTTTTGCAGCCGTTGCGTCGTTTCAACAATAGAAGGTTCTCAGCCAGAAATGGTTTGGAGCTGCAGAGTGTAATTTGGAGGGTTCTCGGCTGCGAAGCGGCAGCGCAGACAGAGCGCTTTCCGGAGCTTGAAATAGCCACACCGGGTCATGGTATCCTGGTGGAGATTTAAAACACTCCATGTTGCACATTCGTGGATGCATGTCGCGTGGTGCGCCAAGCGAAGCAATTCGTAAAAAATGTATTTAAGTGCAAATATATATATATATATATATATATATATATATATATATATACCTAGTAATATAGCCTACTGGAATGCAAGGGATGAGCAAATGGTAGCATAACTGATATAGTTTAAAACGCAGCTGGAAACTCTCACATATTTCCATACATGAGAGCAGTAAAGTGGTCGCACAAGTGTCATGTGAGAGCACCTTTTGCAAATACCTTCGCATTATTCGGCAGTGATTTTTTCGGCGCAAGATGCTTGGAGCTAATGCATAAAGGGGTTAGGGTGATGTCTCTTACGACTTGTTGCGCTTATCCGCACACATTACGGTGAATGTCACCGATCTTCTGAAAGCTGATAGCAAAACATCGCACGAGCTAATGCTGCGCAAATCATCCAAGAAGGAAATCACCTTTCACAAGCCGTGCTGGTCCGGAGTATTTCGTTTCGCAGGCATCAAAAGTAAGGCCAGGCCTTCATCCATTTTCCAATGAAAAGGCTTATCTGCCAGTGGCGCCGTTGTAATGCGTTTCCCCGTGCGGGCTCTTGACTCGATTTGTGGAAAATAAACTGCCTTTGAGGAGCGCTATGCGGAGCTTATCTTAAGTTCAGCCGAAGGAAAACATTGCTCTGCCACCACGGACGACAGGATCCGCGGCACGGAGGAAGGCAAAGAACGATGGACTACCGCCAGCTTTAATGCTATCGCTCGCGTCCTGAGATCGCGCTCGTTCTCGCGCAAGCATGGCTACAGTTGTGTTATGAGGAAGAGCAATGATGGCAAATAAGAATGTTTCCCAATGAATGCAAGGCGACTGAGAGAACTCAGTTGCCTCAGCGGCTTTACCGCCAGCTAGACTAGTCCATGAACGTAATCAAATTACGCGACGGCTTCTGTCGCAGTGGTTTATCGGCCTTGTCGGCGCTAATTCAATTTGTTTAAAGTCAATTCAATCCCACCTGCTGCCTCGTAAGCAGCATTTGAACTCCAAAGGATCTTTTGTTTTAAACGAACAAAAACAAAATAAAACAAAAAACGCACGCACATCACATGGCTCGGCGTACGATTCAAAAATCCCTCCACGGCGTGGATTCTTACGTATTCATCACACACATACACTCAAAGAAGTCGCCCATTCCCAATCTCTCCCAGGCCATAAACCTCGCTTCACCCATTCTCTCACCAGATGGTCCAGACCGGTGACCAGGTCCATGAGGTGGTTGTTCTTCTCGACGCCCCGGTCCTCCAGGCGGTAGATGAGCCGGTCCAGGTCAGGGAAGTCGCGGTTCAAGTCCACACCGTTGGCGTTGGGACGGCCCGTGATGTAGTTGCGACCGCCCTGCCGGCGGCGCAGTGGAAGGAACGTCACGTGCTGATGGCGCGGTAAGCTCGCAGCGTAACTAGCTTCGCGTTCTTGGGAATTACAATGTTCTGCTGTTGCATCTTCGTAATTCCGAGATGTTGCGTGAAGGTACTGTTGCAGCGTTCTAGTATTGCTGCAGCTTTGTGCGTTCTCACTGATGCACCGTTATTCTGTTGTTTCTGTAATGGGTCAATTCAGCCCCCCCCCCTTCCCTCCGCCTCTTCCTTTGTTCTGTATAACTGCGCCACCTCGTCTGGTCGGGTATATGCCGCGGCCGTAGCAACGAGTTGGCGTCATTGTCGGCCGGTTTAGAAACACCATTACCTGATTGGGAGCCACAGCACCCTGATTGAAGCTCCTTTCGTGGAAAGTCTCCGTGCTAGCGGTTACTCGTGGTGGCCGCAGGATCAATCCACTCCTACATTTCCATTATCATCTTGTTTTACTGCATCCTTCACTTGTTTTTTACATCGTACCTTCACAGCTTTTTATATTACATGTACGTTATTATGAAATTATCATCGCTGGCTGAAAGAGCTCGAATCTAATAACATGCAACACGATATATACGTTAGATGATAGTTATGCCGGGACGCCGATTTTTGTAATGCTCTCGTGCTATGTGCTCGCCGTGCTATAATGTTTTGTGATCGCTTCGTTAAATGTAGTGTTACATTAGTGCAATACAGGAACACTGTTTGCTCGTCATGCAATAACGTTGTAAAATCATCATGTCTTAATGCTGCGAACTAGTTCCATGGTTGTGCATGCTCATGAGGGTAAGATACTCTTGGCAGCAAACCGTAGTTACTCTAGTGTGACAATTACGGGCTCATATGCGCGTGTTCCACAGCACCTAGAGCAACCATAGATATATTAGGTTAGAGCTACGGCGCTGAGGTTTGGACGTTAACAGTTTGCAGGTCAACGACCGGTCCGTCGACCGCTACTCACACGAGACGAACCAATACAAAAATTAATTTCCCGCCCTTTAGACGAGTTCATGAATCATCTGCGCTCCTTCTCGGCTCACAGTCACACATGCGCGGACCCATATAGGTGAGATGGATCGATGCCATTTCCCTGGACCGGCGGCCACCCCGGATATGGTAGCAACGTGGAGTTGACCGTCATGCTTCGGGGTGACCGTTGTGGCAGCCAACGGCCGTGGCGTTGGGTTCGCGGGCATGGCTGGCCTTTAAAGGCAGTGTTCCAGATTTAGGTGGGATTTTGACCTGAAACAGCCACCCTGAAGGGCTTTCGGTGCAGCTCACAACCCTGTCCTTTTTAAGACTTAAGCCTTTCTTGTTTATGAGCTATACGCCCGCGAAAGTGCGGAGGGTATTTCAGGGAGAATATTTCAAAATCACCCTGACATTCATGGCGTCATAATGTCATGCAAATCCTGTCATTCCATAAGCCATGCGGTGATCGAGGCCAATACAAATGTAATTGTCGAGGCGTTCATATCCGGCGTTCGTGAGCACAATTTTCAGATGTGTAAGCCGTCATTGGCCCTCAATCAATGCTGCGCAAGGCACAGTGGCGTAATCAAGCCATGACGCACTGAGGGAAATATTTACTTAACAGAAAACTGTGCTGTCTAGAACAGCATTTTCCCTTAAAAAGTATACTAATAGCTATAAGTAAACTTTTTTCATCCAATCTGGCGCGTGCTTCAATACCCTCAAATGTGAAACATCCTCTTCAAGAGAATCCCGGATGAGCTGCTGCGGATCGAGACGCGGACAGATCTGAGCCGCCGTAAACGTCCTTAGTTCAGCGAACCAGAGAATTAGGGAAAGACGCGCTGCACGCCTGCGTGTTAAGCCGTGGATTCTAACCGCAAGCGAGTGTTCAAGGATGTCAAACAAGGGTGTCGAAAAGAGAACTGTTGTAGTGTATATGCGGTGTATGCATCCACGTCTGTTACTTAAGGCGTCCGATCAGAAAATCTCGAACGATGGGTCCCTTAAAAAATCCAGTAACTAAATCCAGTAACGGATCAAAGTAAATCGATCCGTCCGGTATGATATTGCTCTTTAGGAGACGAAGCAGAACCACACCCACACTCTTTATCCGGCGGGTGCGACTTCACTGCGGCTTGTGGAAGGCGAT